AAGAGTTGTAACTTGTCGCCGGCGTCGTCACCGTCCGGCACCCCCTTGGTAAAATTCGGGACCTGACTTCCAAGAGGAGAGACACAGACCCGACGCAGCTTCAGGTAACGGCTTCAATTTCGGTAGAGACCTAGGCTGGGTTTGGGGTTTGGGCGTGGTTTCGCCGGCGAGACAGCCTGGGCTCGAGTGTCGGCGGAGTCTCCCGATAAGTCCTGTCGATAGATTGCCTTGTGCCCCTGATGTTGGGTGCATAAGAAAACAACAAGATGAACAGCGTATTCATAAGAGCAGATATGAATGGATGATGGGGGTGTCTGAGACCAGTCTGGATCCAGAAACAGCGGCCGAGGATCTAGAAGCCACTGAAGCCACTAGTTCGACGGGAAGATTAGCGCTGCGAGCCTGCGGTGTGGTTGTGTACTTCTGCGCGGGCGAGGAGATGGACGAATCGCAGAGTGAGGGCAGAGCATCTCGTCCCTCCGTTGCTTTGCCATATTTTCGCCCCATTGGAATTTTTCTGTCGGTCAAAATTGGAGTGGTGACAGTGTGAAGGAATCGACTTTTGTTCGGACGAAACACCAAACATCGGAGTGTTGGGACGAAACTCAGTAGGATCTGGCGGCTGTTTGGGTGGAAATCGACCGTAAGAAGGGCAATCTTCTGCACGGTGTCTGTTGACCGTGCTGCTTTCTGCTGACTGATATTTGTTCACCGTCCCATCCATCCAATGTGATGCCATCTGATGAACGATCTCCACCTGTTGGAGCTTTCCAAGGTCGAGGAGGGGCGCGTTCCTGCAGCAAATCCCTGCGCTAGACGAGGAGAGCCCCTGTAGGACCATGCGCTTGTATCGATTTTAGTGTAACGCTCTTGGGATGGCACAGGCGGCATCAGCCAGTCAGCGGTCGCCCGTACCTGACTTGCGGCTGCTTGAGTGAACGGTTGGGTGTGGACAGCGCGGGTAGGAAGCCAATGGCGCGAGTTGATAGTGATCATGGAGACGTGGTAGCGGCGGCATGCGGTGCTGCAGACCAGAAAAGAAACAAATGGTAAGAAAAAGGTCGTCAGCAGCTATATGGAGATTCAAAGTGAATAATCATACTGCCATTTGGAAAGACGATACTTTACTCCGTATCCGTACGGATGAGAAGAAAGAAATGGAAGAAAACGAAGAAGAAGCAGCAGAGGATTCGCGCTGCGTACACTAATTGTGCCGTGCTGCCCTCTGCGGGCTCGGACCAGGGGTGGTAAAAGTCGCGCCAGCCCCGGCTCATTTGAGGAAATTGCCTTTCATTCGCCCGTTTCCACAAAAAACGGTTCTTTCCAACCCCGGCCCATCACCCTGGGACTTTCCCAGGTTGACAGGCACCACCCCCCTTTTCATTACGGGTACGTACTGGGTAGTTTGTGTACGTACCGCCCACCCACAGTCCACTGGTTCCTCCTCCTGAGTCTCTCACCCCCAATCTTTTTTTTCGTTTTTCGTGTGCTATTGAACTTATTGAACTCCATTCGATCCAATGGTAGCACTCGCTCTCGTGTCTGGCGGTAGGACGGCGTGGGATGTCCACGATGGGTCTAGCTGTTGTCATCCCGGCCATCTTGCAAGGTCCAGGCTCACGGTCATGGGTCAATGTTCAAGGTTCTCTCTTTCTCTGCCCCTCTCCTCTCCATGGTGCAAGGAGCCAGCAAGGAGCCGTCAGCAAAGGAGCAGAGGAGCAAAGGAACAGCAGTAAGAGTGAGCTGTCCAGGTCTAGGTCCAGGTCCAGGTCAAGGTTCCAGGTCAAGGCTACGTGCAAGAGTCGTTGTCTCGTTGGTCCGTTGCTGCTCAATCTCCTCCTTCCCGTCCGCTCGTTGGCTCGTTTCGCTTCGCTTCGCTTGACCTGCCTGCAGCCTGTCGCTGCTTGCTGCTGTGGACTGTGGACTCAGGACTGTGGTGGCTCGTCTCCGTCTTCTTTCGCTCCCACTCTCGGATCTCCTTCTCGCCTCTCTTTTTGCTCGCCCTCACCCCCAAAAGGGACTTACTCTCGTTCCTCTTTCCTTCCGTCCCTCCTCCCCCCCATCGTCGGTCGTTACTCTGATCTTCCGAGGCCAGTGACATCCGCCGACTTTCCACTTTCCACAATCCTCTCTCTCTGCCTGCCAGCGGGCTCGTCACTCTTTTTCAGGAACCTCGTGGATTGTGTGAATGGATCACCGGATCTGACCGACCTCTCAAACTCACTCTTAAGTCGTTCTTTACTCAACACAACAAACCCCAAACCAAAATTTCCACCGACTGAATATCCTCGGTGGTAGTCACTCTTTTGTATCCAGCATCCCGCCCAGGCGTTTGGAACCGTTCACTTCGCACGAGATTCGATTCAAAACTCGAGACCTTCGACTACTTGCTTTGGTGCCTTTGACATTCAATCAATTGTCTCATCCATCCCCTCGAAATCCGTTCCGACTCCCCGATACGATCTTTGTCCGGTAATGGTAGCATAGTGGTAATTTCAATCAGTGAAGGAAGGAGAAATTCTCGAGGTCGACCGTCGACCTCAAAGAGAGAATCGGTTATCAAGATACCACGGGTATCTTCCTGTCGAAACCGCCCAAGTTCAAAATGGCTTCATTCAACGCCAATGGCTACGTGATGGCCTCCCGAATTCCCATCCGGGACGTTCAGCCAGTTAACAACGAGCGATCTGTCGCGCCCCTCCGAATCGTCTCTCGTATAATTGGAACCAGAGAAACCTGTACCGGCTCAGCCAGTCAGTGTGAGAAGCCAGTCGACCCTTCTACCCTCACATTGCCCATCACTCTTGGCGTCACGTAGGTCTAAACAAAGTTCTCAAGTAGGGTATATGTATGAATGGGCTGACTGTTCCTAGGATTCCCATCGTTGGCGCTTTGTGTTTGCTGTTCTACTTCCACCGAAGAAATGTCAAGAGGCAAAAACAGGAGGATGCGACTGATCCCAACCGAGGCCTGGATTTCGGACTTGGCGAGACCAGCTCTGATAAGGGTGGAAAAGGAAAGCGCAAGAGCATGATGTTCCGTGAGAAGGGAATGGGTCTCGACACGAAGCACCGTCAACTGTCTATGGATATGAACCTGGACAGCCCCTACCTTCTTCCCCCCGGTCTTCAGAGCTCGCGTGAGTCTCTGCACTCTCTTGCGAGAACCCTCCACAGCGAGGCAGACCCCTACCGGCCCGTGGCTGGCTACACCGGCAGCGATGTCGGTTCCATCCGATCGTACAAGCCCGATGGTGCTTCCGTCTACACCAAATCGACGAGCCGACGCGGTTCCGCCATGACTGGTCGCACCACCATGACCCAGAATACCCTGCCTCCTAGGCAAAACTCCCTCCCCAGGCCTCCTCCCGCGACGGCAGACCCCTTTGCCACGCCCAAGTCCAGATCTGGCTCCCCTGCCCTCGAAATCATGACGACAAACTCGCCCGTCGTCTTGTCACCCACCTCTCCGGTTATTCGAAGCCCGCTCATCGCTGAGCCCATCATTCCTAAGATCGAGACCATGCCGTACCCCGATGACAGAAACGGCGGTTCTCTTCCTCAGATTCCCGATGTCCCGGAACCTGCCCCTGTTGCTCAAAGGGGACTCCCCAACAACCCTCGCCCGTCTGCCAAGAACCCGTCCATCCCCGAAGTTCAAGAGCTGGATAGCACCCCGGCCGCAGCCCCTGTTGGCCTTGGTCTCGACGACATGAACTTCCCTTCCCAGAAGAATGCTGCTCCTTCAACACTCCCGACCATTGTGCCCGAGGAGACGAATGCTTATGACCGCGAAAGCTATTACGACTATGACTTTGAGGATAGAGGCCGATCGCAGAGACGCTCTGTGGATATGAACGACAACCGCATGTCACGTGCACTTGGTGTTCCGGGTCAGGACGCCAAGAGGCTTTCAGTGGGCTTCCGACCCCTGCCTCCTGATGAGGTGACGGAGTCTGAGGATCCTGAAGAGCGTGCCAACAGAATCAGATCATTCTACAAGGAGTACTTCGACCCCGACAACCCGCACGCCGGCCAGGCCCCGCCTCCCATGCCTCAAGGACCTCGCGGACCTCCCAGAGGACCTCCTCCTGGCGGCCCTCAATACTACGAGGATTACGACCCGAGCTACAACGGTGCTCCCGGCGGTGATGCCTACTTCGACCCCGAGAGCAACTCGTTCGTTATGCCCTACGCTCAGCCCGTCACTCGTCGTGCAATGACGCCGCCACCCAGCGGCTCCCGCTTCCGCGGCCCGCCTCCTCCTCGGGCTATGCACGGCTCCATGGGCGGTCGCATGGCCAGCCCCGGCCCCGGCGGTAGACGTCCTCCTCCTCGTGCCGGCTCGGCCATGTCCAGCCGCCTTGGACCTTCCCGACCGGGATCCGACATGTCCAGCCAGTACACTCCTCGGCCTGGCTCCTCAGTATCCAACAGGACTGCTGGAGGTAGACCCAAGCCCAAGGTACCTCCCCCTGCCGACTTGACTACCATGCCCAACCCCTCCAAGCTCAAGGATGACTCCTTCTCCATCCTGAACCCTCTCGACTTCGCTCCTCCCGAGACCTTCTCTTCCCGCGCCCGTGGCCGTTCCCAGAGTCCGGCGGGTGAGAGACGCCCTTACGCAGCGCCCTCAATCCCCGTCCATTCCCCGTTGGTCAGCAGCTTCGAAGAGATGCCTGCCATGCCCAGCCCGTAAGTTATCCCTCGTAGACACTGAAAAGATTAGAATTCACTAACAACTGGACAGTCACTTGCTGCGCAAGTCCGGAACCTTCACTGGTCTCGACTTTGCTCCTCCCCGCAAGTTCAAGGACGGTGACAACATGAGCGATGCTGGTAGCATCCGTAGCAACCGCAGCGGTATCTCGGCTGTCCAACAGGCCGCCCTCCGCAGCGGTGCCGGCAGAGTCAGCCGCTTGCCCGGTGACACTGTCTTCACGGCGACGGCCCTCGATGACCAGCTCAAGCCGCAATGGGGCATGCGTCCTTAAACGGCAAACGACGTTTTTCTGCTTGTTGATATCATTACTTTGACTTCCGCGTATTGATACGGCAGCGCCGAATCGACGGTCACGACTTTTGAGCCTATTCGCACGCACTGGGATCATCCATGTATATGAATTTGCGCGGACAAACAAAAAAGAGGAGCCTTTCTACCCTTACCTTTATGGGATTTGGAATTTTGCATAACGGTGTTATTTCTTCTCGCATTTAGTAGCGATATACTGCTAATGTCTTTTTGTGTTGAAACCCTTTTTCTGTTTCGCTGCGTGGAGTATTTGGGGCACGACAAATAGTTTTTATTTTTTAAACCGGCCCTCCCTCCCTCTCAGCCTCATTTGGCAATATGGCGGGGAGGGTTTGCATATAGAAAAAGGGCTCCGGGACATTGGTACCGCCTGCCAACCATCAACAACTAGATGATGAATACTACAGAGAGTATAACTGAGATTTGTCTTCCTTGTTGTTGCAAAGTGACGATTTCGTTTTCTTTCCGTGGACTGTGGTAGGCACGTATGGCCGAAGCCCGAGGCGTACGAAACTCCGTGACTTACTTCCATGTCTACATCACACGAGTCGTCACAAAAAGGCACCAGCATACCAAGGTCCGAGGGCCTCGTAGGGTAAACAAGGCTGCGTGATAGACAGGGTATCCGAACGCCGTACGGAGAACCCTGACGAAACCCATCGGTAGATCTGACGGCCTCCAATGCGCCGGCGCGCTCTGGGGATGGTTTAACCCTGATGAGATGAGATCGTGGACGGGCGGCTGCTAGGACACAATCAGACAGAACACAGCCGCCGCCACAGCCCCCATGATGGTGCAAAACGGCAAGTTTTGTCGCATGAAGGATCAGGCGTCCTGGCGCCGCTTGGTCGGGCATGCGCGGGTGGGGGTTACCGATTGCTAAGGCAAGTCTAGTCTGAGTCTGACTGCATCTCGGTTCCAAGCAGTTCGATAAGGAATCACGAGATGTTCGTCTTTCGGAGAACATTGGATGCTTCGTCAGTAAGCAACCTACCTACCTACCTACCTCACCACTGCGTACGGCTACTTTTTGCTTGGGGGCGAGTCAGCAATCCATGACTATCGGTTCCCGTGTCCTCGCGAGTACCGTACGGAAAAGCCAGCCCTTTTGGCACGCATACGGACACGACACTTGGCGTCCTTCGAGAAAAGACGGGATGGGAATCAGATGCCCTTCGACAGCATCCGAAAAGAGCTTAATGAGTAAAGTTATTTTTACATCGGACACTTGGATGGCTTGTGTGGAGCGGGAAGGCTCACGCTTGACCCAAGCTTACAGTCAGTGGCGTTTACTCGAGAGGGAGGGCTCCCGCGGGCCAATGAATGGTTTCTAAAATGTGGCATTTGGGAGGGCACAGCCATACGTGTGGCGGTTTTGGAGACGAGACCAGAGCTCGGGTAGCGTGGCTTCGTGGTGAAAGCCAACTGAGCGCCGTTAAGCTAACCAAGTGTCAATCGGACAGATGGAAAATAGAAACAGAAGACAAAGAACGATCCCTTGAAGAGGCTCATGTAGAGGGCGATTTGCTGTCTGGGATTCCTGGTTGCTGATTCGATGAGCCAAAAGGTGTCGGCACGGATCTGGCAAACAACATCGAGAGACTTTGAGTCTATGCAGACGTTGCGCTACCTCGCCTCGTGCCGAATGTGCGTTTCCGGCGAGGTGGCGTGAGATAGAGCACATCGAAGGTTCTTACTGTCGGTGAGAGAGTCCCGGCAGCTCGACGGCGCATTTGGTGACGTGACACTACACAGGCCAGACACACATAGTCGACTGCATTAAGGTAATCCGACCTACGGGTACCGGCATCGCCATCATCGGACGTGGTCCGAAGAAAGTTGTGTACGAACGATTGAGTCTGGTCGGGGAGAGGTCTCGTCGTCGAATTGCGGACAAGAGCTGAAGTCCGGATGTTGGGATGAAGTGATCCTGAGACCCTTTTGCAGAATGCTTTCCAAGGACAGACAGAGGCTAAGAGGTCGTCGAAGTTTGAGTCAATGCTCCGTGAGTGTGGAGGGACGTGAGGGGAACATGACGTTGGTTGCTGTAGATCTTTTGCTTTGAAGAGCCCTGTCCGAACCGAGGGCATATTGTTCCTGTTGTCATTATGCCAACACCTCATGGGATCTTGACATCCTGGGGCAAACCTTGACACTGAATCCCGGCTGTTGTTTGCGGATGCTGAGCCAGGGTTGGGGAAGATGGACGTCATGTGGAGGTATATGTGCCATTGAAGTCATAATAGCAGGCCATTACGATGACAGAGCCCGCCATACTGGCTATTATGACCGATTGCAGTTGGACTCAAACTGCCTGAATACTTGCGCAAAGAAAGAGGCGAGCAATGTGGCAGCGTCGATTTGAAGCCAACAGGCTGTGAGTTTGTGGCCTGCAGACAGGCAGCGGTGGAGTTGTTTGATCGAGACACTGGACTATGCAGCTTCGAGGCTTGTGTGACAAGCTTCCGGAGCGGTCTGGATGACAGAAGACTCTGACCACCAATGCTACAGAGACTTCAGGAGGGATGTAACCTAACCTTTGGCCGAAAAGCTCGTGCCAATGGCATAGTGACGGAGAAACGACCGGTTGTTAGTCAGGCAAGCGATTATCGAAGACAGCAGCCCTCGAAGCCTCAGCAATGTCATGCCAGCTGCCAATGGTCAAGCCAGCATTCGAACTTGTGTCGACTAAAGATAGTTGTTCAACTCAAGCCGGAAGGCTCAAGCTATCATCCGACGTGTGCTGCCGTGATGGTTGTTAGTCGCCACAGGGCCGGCCGGGTGTCTTTGACCCGGCCGGTTTCCGCTCGAGATTCGTCCTGTCGCGCTTGAACAGCTGGCTGGGATGCATTCTGGCTGTCTAGTGCTTGGTCAAGCGGGCCAAACTCCCGCCGATCTGACCAACAGAAGCGCGCAATTGACGCCATACGGCTACCTTTGTAGATCGATGGGATAGCACAACAGATCGAATGCGGTGCTCGCCGAGAGAAAGGCACCGGCTGAGGATCAGCAACCTTTATTTTGGGGATACGAACGGGTCCACAGGTGCCGAGCAGCCTGTATCTGTAGAGGGAGGCAACCCCTCGGGTTGGTAAAGGCTGAACTTGGTCGCTGTAGAGAAGACGTAAGGGAGAATAAGGTGGACGTGAGCTTCAAAATAAACAAGCCATCAGAAGTGTCGGTGTGTTCGACAATGGCAGGTTCAATGGCGAGAGCCAAGAGATGACAGAGTCTCGGAGGCATGCATCGAAATTTGAACGTCAAAATTATGAGGATTGCTTGTTGGTGAATGTCGGTGACATTCCTGACCGGGCGTTGGCTTGTTTGAGACATCCCGACGTGGACTGAGACCAAGGTACGTATTCGTAGACATGAGCCAACAGGCACTTGCCGACTTTGACTCTTTGGGTCGACATGTATTGGCCGCAAGAAGGGTAGCGATGCGTTTCTTCACCTCTTCTTCTTCTTCGCGAGCAAATGATGCCATCTCGAGTCTTGCGGACGGTAGATCTGGCAGTCGGCGTGGTTTACCAGGAAGGTGCATGCTCGCTAGGCAAGGGAAATTAACCAGTTCTGGAGCCGACGACCGTCACTCTGGATACGAGAGGGAGCGAACGGGCCCTCCGGTGTCCCCAGCAGAGCGAAGCGAACTCGCGAATCCCGTTGATGAGGTCAATTTTCTCCACAGGCCCGAGAAAGAGGACTCCAGTCTCCAGGCGCCCAGGCGTCCAGAGTCCAGAGCGAGCCCCAGGGCATTGCCGCGCAGCAGCGAGGCACGGCCGGTGCAGGGACTGGTTGAAGGATGGCCTGCCGGGATGTTCTCGCAAAGCAAGATACCATGGTGGAGGTTGACTGAATTTTGACTGCGGGCTATCCGTCGTCTGAAGTATTTAGGTTTGGAAGATGGCTGGAGTCTGTTAAATTGAGAAGAGAGAAAGAGAGAGGAAGAGAGAGCAGATGAGATGAAACTTGACCGACATGCCTTGCTTTGAGTTGCTTGCGTATCTACCTGGCGTGTCGCGTTTGAGGTGTCGTATTTTGCATTCATGTCTCTGGTTGAAAGGTGTCGAAGCAGTGACATCGGGAACGCACATGAGGGACATCGGGGACCATATGCGGCTGCATTGCGGCATACCTGACGGTTCTGACCTGAGGGCTAAGGCCGGTGGCCCCGGGTGGGTTTGGAGGTTGCTGGTCTTTCCCTCTTTGGCCCGTTTGGATCAGGAACAAGACTTGGCAGGCATTCGACGATATGAAAGGAAGCAGCCAGCATTCCCGGACTGGAAGCATCCGCTGCCGCTTTCCGGGAGTATTTTGTATTCGTCCTTGGTAGCTGTTATTAGCACCGCGATGCACAGAGTATGGCCAGCTCTAAGGGCTTTAGGCTTTTTTGTTCGTGCCAGGGGTCCCTCGAGGATCGGGGACTTTGTGGTCCCTGCGAGCCAGAGAGGGCAGCGGCTCAGCAATTCGCAATCTCAACGGGCATGTACCGCAGCAGTTGCGAAATGACTGAGACACGGGAGATGATGGACGGCATAAGCCGCCTTGTCCCTCTCGAGCACGCGACAAAAGTTAGAACTTTCAGAAGCTGTCGGTTTGTCGGTTTGTCGAGACTCGGAGGACTCAACGGGCCTAAAGCCATTCTCTCTACTGTCCGCATAGGTTTTCATATGGTTGGGCCAATTCATTGCAACGTGCCATGCAGACTTCGTGCGAACTACAGATCGGCCCTTTCTACAAGGTACTTTGTCCTAGTCAGGTTCCCTCCAGGTCTGCTCCACTGGCGGATGCATTAGCATCGTACAGGAGATACTTATGTTCCGCGCACGTTTAGTATGGGAGAACAAGTACTTTGCTTAGCTGACCTGAAGCTGGTCGCAGCATAGCTCAGCGCCCTGCCACTGAAGCAGCGGCCCTAACTCCCGCTGAGCTTCCCACCCGCACCTTAAGGTAGGTAGGGTAAGGCAACGGTGGAGGGTCAGGTCAGTCTACCCAGTGCTACTGGGTTTCCTTTTTGGTCTTCCATTTGCAGTTCTGACTGTAACCTGCACTCGGGGCTGGATTGCAGCATCCGTACATAGCAGCTTGGAGCTGGATGTTCGGACACGAGACAGACACACGCCAGCAGGGTTGACGGTCGTGACTTCCAATTATTCCCATGGACCGTAAATGGCAGGGCGGGAGGGCTGTGAAGAAGGAGGAAGGAGGTCGGTCCACTTCACTTGGGCAGGCACGCCGCACGAATACCTAGGTACTGGATTGCTCTTGCTCAAAACATACATATTTCCGCGCCTTCCTCTGCCGCTCCTTCGGAGCTACCCTCCCCCCCTTCCTTCTCCCTCCCTTTCGCTGTCTTCCCGTCAATATCCTTCACCCCCGTCCCCCCGGCCGTCCTTGCTCGTCAACCCCCTCCCCGGTCCTTCCTCTTTTCACTTCCAATTGGCAGCGGTATCAGCATCAGTCCGCATCCTTCCAAGGAAATCGCGACCTCGCTCTCCTCCTTCTTCCTCCTCTTTTCCCCTCTTCCCCATTTCTTCCTACTTTTCACCTTCCTCCTCTCGCTCTAACTCTTGCAAATTCTCTGCCCTGTCGTTTTGCTTTTTCCCACTTTCCTGTGACGCCGTCGCCAATCGATCCCACTTCGTCACTGCGGATCGACAATACTACAATACTCGCGCGGCACTACGGAATACGTCTACCACGGATACTCCCCGCGACCAGGTACCGTCTCGTCTGTACGAACCAAGCGAAGTAGGGCCCTGCCAACCGCCGAACCCAACGCCGACCCGCGCAGTAGCCAGGAGACGGTCCGTCTTGGGAGCTCCCTCAAAGGCACACAGGCACCACCTGAACCTGACTCAGCCACCCGCGCCAATTATCAACCGTCCGTCTTGTCTGAGCACCCGTCGCTCCATCGCCGTTGTTACCGCCCAGACGCGACAATCACTTCCCACAATTTTCCAAAGAAACTCTTGACCTTGACTCCATCCTCGACTCGACACCCCGACGCACCCGTCACTCGTGTGTCGCTTTGCCCTGAACTGAGGCCTCGTACCACCGCCAGTTCCACGTGTATCGCCAAACTTGGCCTCTCACACGGCCTGGTTGAGAGTCGACCGCGCTTCTGAATCGACGAATTGCTCATTGCAGAATCGCTTGTATTGAAACACCTCCCTTTCTCCGCCCTGCAAGCTACCTGTGAGCCAATCGCTCTCATTGGAGGTACGTTGTTCGACGCTGTGCTTCCCAGATTTTGCCGAGTGCACTACGGCATCTCTGCCGATCATCAATTTGCCTCCCAAGAAACCTGCTGCATCTGTTGTGTTAGTTGCGCACAAAATGATTGGGTCTTCTGCCTTGGTTGCCAATTGCCCAAGCCGTCGTCCCATCTCAACTCTTCAGTCGTCTTGTTTTGTTGAATACCCATCATCCCTTGTTCGGAGTCTGGCGATGCCATCAAAGCTGCTCTCTCGCCAGTCGCTAATATGTCTTCACCACCTAGTCAACCGCCACAGATCTTGCTGAGACAGGAAAACACAATGTCGTCGAATGCTACGACTCCGGGCGGCGAGGCCACAACGGCTCCCGCCGCGACACCTGGCACTTCCGCACCCGCAGAGACGAGCGCCGCCGCCGTCACCACCACTCCTCCGGCAGAGACCTCTGCGGCAGCGGCTCCTACCACCGCTCAACAACCCACGACGCAGCAAACTTCCGCGGCAGCAGCACCAACCACGTCTCAAGCTCCGGCGGCCACAACTTCTGCGGCAGCTGCACCAACTACTCAGCAGCAGAACACGACTCCGACTACGCAAGCTGCCGAAACTACTACCCAGCAACAGCAAACAACCCTGGTCGCGACTACTGTCGTCATCACGCCAACCGAAGCAGGAGGTCAGACAAGCACCATCTTTACTGTCATCACTCAGACCAAGGGCGTCACACAAACCGGAACTGCTGCCAGCTCATCTGCTTCCGCTACGGCCTCAGGCGGTGCCATCAACTCCGGTGGTAACTCCAAGGGCGGTCTCGGTAACGGGGGCACTATTGCGGTTGCTGTTGTCGTACCCATCGCTGCCGTTGCCCTGCTCATTCTGGCTGGTCTGTACTTCTGGAGAAAGAGAAAGCAGCGCAAGGACGCCGAGGAGGAGCGACGAAAGGAGGTCGAGGATTATGCCTACAACCCGAATGCGGACCCCACCATCCCATCCCTTGGCGATGGCGGCTCGTACGAAATGAAGGAAGATGCGGCCTCATCCGGATACCGTGGTTGGGGATCTACCACTCTTGCCGGCTCCACCGGACGTAAGGCGTCCACGACCATGTCCGGAGGCAACACAGGTGCGGCATACTCGGATACAACTTCACCCAGCCATGGAGGAACTGACAACCGTTCAGGAGAGCCTTTGATCAACGATGGCTCGTACTCACCTGATGGCGAGATTCTTGGCGCCATGGGCCCTTCAGCAGCTATGAACCGTGGAGGCGGTGTTCAACGTGGACCTTCCAATGCGTCATCTTCCTACAGCGCAGGAAACCACTCAGATACCTCTGATGGAATCGGCATGGCATACAGCGGCGGTGGCAGCAACGGTAATGGCAACGGCAACGGTTACTACGATCAGTACGCCAACAACCCGTACTCTGACAGCCCTTACGCCAACCCGGCCACTGAGCTCCCTGGCCAACCGGTCATCCGCGACAATCCAGCTCGTCGCAACACTCGGATTGAAAACCCTTCGCACTATCCCCAACAACAAAACGCTGGTATTTCCCAGAACTTCTAGACAAGGTCTGGTGTGTTATCATAAAAGTTTTGTTTGTTGCTCATCAGTCTGTTGGGGTTCTGTTCCGAAGATACCCTCCATCCCCATCAGGCCATCGATCTCGAAATCGAGAAACACATACGGCGTTACGGATTTACGGAATCATGCGACACGTCGGCATTTCAACTGCCTCGCGACGCTTCTTTTACTTTTAATATTGTTTACTCCGCTGGCTCGCCTGGCGAAGCCCGCACGTAATGGCTCGCCGAATGCCACGGAGATCATAATCCACTTCGACGCACATGATTTATTCGTCATATACATAAATATCTCGGGTATTATTCCGACCAATGCTACGCAAAGTGTGTTGCTCCAATTTAATATGTTGTATATAGCAAGCCGACGAAGGGCGTGCACAGGCAACATGATTTGCTGATGTCTTTCTTGGGCAAAGCAATCAAGATTATCTTGACGGCAGAGAGCGAGCTTCCGCGCAAGAAAAATTGGAGGATTTTAGTATAGCAGTAGGTAGTTAAAGAGTAGGATAGTCGACATCGCTAAGATCTCGAAACACAGTCTCATGTAGACACGTATGAATGAATATTCCTTTGTCAATCTACTCTTGCATTCGTTACTGTCGCTTTCTCGTGCCGTTTCATTTCATGTCCCTGTGCGGAGAGTCTGTATCGGGCTAACATCAACTCTTTTATCCACTCATCCACCACAGATCTCCTACAACTTGGACCCCTCCTCTTCAGCAACACCCATACCCTCGCTCAGCCCAACCCGATCCCACCAGAATCGGAACTGCCTCACCTCGGCCTCCGTTAACGTCCGCACGCGCGCCACGGCGCCCCGGCGCCGCTGACCCAGACGGCCCATGAGCTCGTCGTTGCCCTCGCCAAACACGAGGATCTTACCCCTCGTCTCGGTGGGGTCGTCTGCTGGTTTTGGGATGTAGTCGTCCGCGGCGGTGTCGCCAAAGGGGGAGATGAAGGGGGGCCAGGAGACGCCGCGGGAGTCGTGGTCGACGTCGACGCCGTTGGGATCGGAGCTCGTGGCGAAGGAAGACCAGTGGGCGTGCATCGCGTCCGATACGGCGAGTAGGCCGGGCGTCTTGTGTGAGGTGAGGATGTCTGTGTCGTGCGTTGCGGCGGGTACGTGGTCGCCGTGGTTTGCGGCGGCGAGGTCCGCGTGCGCGGCGTACTCGTATACCCAGACCGGAGCGGGTGCGTCAGCACCAGCGCCAGCACCAGCTTCCCCGGCCGTTTTCTTCTTGGAGGCAAAGTGCGCCGAGTGGAGGAGCGGGGCAATGTACCCGTAGTGCCCGTATGCCTGCGCCAGTCGCCGGAACTGGGCGCCGTGGGAAGCGGTCGGCGGGGCCGGGTATGTTGACGGCGGCGGGTACAGGCTCTCCAGGGTCGCGAGGTCTGCGGCGGAGAGGGACGGGATGAGGGCGGAGAAGAAGTCTGAGAGGGCTGTTGGGGAGGAGGCTGTTGCTGGCACGAACATTGTGCCTTCGGAGGTGTTGAAGCCTGTCAGGAGGGGCGGGAGGGGAGGGAGGAGGGTGGGTGAGGTCCAGGTTTTGATTGGGGCGAAAGGGATTATGCTGCTGCTGCTGTCGTTGTCGTTGCTTCTGTTGCTTGCCTCGATGGATGGTTGAAAGGGCCATTGGACCGAGGGGGCGCACTCTGACCAGGTAGCCAGCGAGGCTTGGAGGAATTTATCGAGGGGGAGAACGCGGAGAGCGGGCAGGATCTCGTCTGGTTTTGATGAGAGGTTGGACAGGCCTGCGTGGGTTAGGAAGCGGGTGAACTGAGCTTCGTGACGAGGGTGCGTGGCCGCGAGGACGGAGCGGGCTGTCGGGGCGCCGGATTCGAGGATGGCGCGATGGAAGAGGCGGCGCGAGGGCGGGGAGAGGAGGTGGTGGCCGAGCTGTGTGCTTTCGTGTTAGCATCTCAGTTTGAGGTTTTTACCATGACTGCACCATGGCGAGTGTTGAGGCCAATATAAACATCGAGATGTAAGATGGCTATGAAGAAGGAGTGAACATACCGAATGCGCCCCGGCGCTGAAGCCCATGACCGTGACATCCTCCTCGTCTCCGCCAAACCTGCCAATGTTGCGCTGCACCCACTCGAGCAGCACCCTCTGGTCCATCAACCCTAGATTCGCGATGCCTTCCCCGGCAGCAACATCACACGGGAGGAAACCGAGCGGGCCGAGGCGGTAATTGAAGCTCACGGCAACAACATCACGCTTCGAGTACGATACAAACGCCGCGAGGTTCCTGTCCCCTCCCCTCCCAAAGTTGAAGGCACCGCCATGCGCTACATTCGACTGCTATTAGTACATACATACGTTATACTTCAAACAGCCGCACCGCACCATCGGCTGGAAAGGGGAAAACCATAGACGTACTATACACCAAAACCGGAACCTTCTTCCCTTCCACCACTGCTCCCGCCGAACGGAAGATATTAGCGTTCAAACACCCCTCTTCATCCGCCGGGTACGTCGGGTCCGCGGTGGGACACACGGGTCCATACTCGGCCGCATCAAACGAGTCACCAGATTGGTCCGGCGCCTCCGGCCGACGAAAACGCTGGCACTTTGCATACGGCACGCCGAGGAACGCCTCCACATCGCGCGGGAACTCAGGTTCAGAGAGCGTGGTCCCGATAAAGGCTCCCTGATCCAGACGGACCGTCGGCCGCTGGTCTCGGGACAGGGTTGAGGCTGCGGGGCTCATATTCCAGCGGTGTTTTTCGCGGTAAAGTACCCAGGATTAGGTTGTAGAGGATTGATGCCGATATGTGTTTGATTGCTGGCCTGCTTTTTTTCTTCTTTCTCCGAATTGATCGATCTTGCAATCACTTGAATGTCGATGTAATGAAAGGTTAAAGACGAGCGACTCATCCGCTGGGCCCAACCGGATGTCGTTGGCGTGCTCCGCTAGCGCCGGCACGCTAGCCGGCCGTGCGATCCCGCGTCGTCTCCATACCTCGGGTTACACTCAACAATGCGGTGACTTGTTCATTGTCGAATACCTGCCTAATGGATCCTACAAATCAATTGTTCTCATCTCTGCCGTGGGTGACAGATGCTCCTACGGACTACATGTACCATCATTGATCTGAAAATAAATAGCATTGTTGATCTATAAGCACTCACATACGGTACCCAAACTAGCACCACTGTAGTTGTACTCATGGTTTAAGAGAGGTTCTTTTTCAGCAATCAACGGGCCTAAGCAAGCTAGAAACAATGACAGCAATCGACATGTCGATGCGAACTCAAAAACAAGTTCTAAAAATGAACACCAAAACTCCTTCACGGCACGTCTCTGTTTGTCAACATTGCCTGCTGAACAGTCGATACCGTTGCCCCGAACTCCACGCAGTCTCCATCAGTCCAGGCGCCGAGCTCCATCCGCTGGTCAGATAATTTACAAACGAGGCCAGAACCTGCCAAATAGGGCCTCAAAGATCCTTGAACGTCGGGCCCATCATGCTGTCTGAATTGCCGCCGCAGCCAGAATAGCGAGCTTGCTGCGTTGTTGCTTTTCGCGCCACTCTCGGCTCGCTTGCCTAGAGCGTTCCGCAGCTTGCTCGCGGGCCATCTTAGCGTTCCACTCACGTTCGCGGCGCTCTCGCTCCTTGTCTTGGGTGTAGGAGTTATCGCGGTGGAAGACCTCGCGACCCTTGACCTTTTGCTGCTCAATTTCCTCGACAGACAGCGCGCTTCGCTTGCCGCTAATACTACCCGTAGATGTAGACGTAGCACGGCTAAGCTGGGTCTCTGTACCTGATTGTGAGGTACCTCTGCCGCGAGTCTGTGGCGACCTCGTTGAAGTCGTTCTCGCAAGCGTACGAGGAGTGCCCATAATCGATGAGCGCTTCGACGGACTGTCCATGTCGGTGGCCTCGGACCCCTTGTTCTGGCGAGCTCGACTAGCCACGGTCTCTCGAGGTTGCGCAGCCGTTCCCAGCCTTGCCTTGATAGGACTCGCCTTGAACTCGCGACGCCTTCGCTCATCCTCTTCTTGCTGTTTGAGACGAGCTTCTCGCTCCTCCCTCTTGCGCCTGGAGATTGCCTCGCCGGGCAGCTCAAAGTTAGGCCTAGTCGGGGCCTTGAGAGATCTAGTTCGCTGAGGGACTGCCGCAGCCGCAGCGGCCTTCTCCTGGGCCTGTTGAGCTAGGCGAGCATCGCGCCTCGCCTTGATATCGCGAGCGGTGGCCTCACCTGGTAGCTCAAAAGAGGGCTTGGTAAGAGCCCTTGTGGATTTAGCAGGCGGTTTGGGCGGTAGAAGGCTGGTTGGACGTGCCACAGGAGGCCTTGTAGTAGGTGCTTTCCCAGGGGATCCCTTTTGAATGTCGCTGTCAAAGTTGACAGACTTTCTCTGGTTTGCGCGTGCCTGTGATGATCTTTTGGCTGCGGCACCAACAGATTGAGTGCGGTTCAAAGTGGAGGCGGTCCGCTTGAGGACTGATTCCTTTGTGGGAGCTGTCGTAGTAGTCTCATCCGCCAGAGATTGGATCCGTCGCGACTTGCTTGGTGTCGTCAAGCGTGTGTTAATGGCCTCCAATTCCTCCTCGAGTTTATCGATTGCTTCCACGGAGTCCTCAATTCGAGATCGCGAGCTGGTCGAGGTCGACCTAGATGGTGTGCGGGGAACGTCCTCCGTTGGGGCCATGCTCTCGTCCGTAGACGAAAAGGAAACTACTCTGTCCTTGGGGTGGTCCACGTAGTCCAAAGATGACTCTTTGGAGTGAGTCTGCTCAACGACGGATACATTGATGGCAGACTTCGTCATGGGGCTTTCGTGTCCAGCAGGCGCTGGTGACGCAAGCCGAACAAGCGGTTCGGCAACAGCCATGTTGTCGTCGTTTTCCGAAGATGAATATGACGCACTTCGAGATGATTCGTCAAATATCAGAGGTGTTGCTAGAAGTTTGAAAGCATTAGCCGGTTTGCGCTGACTGCAGAGACTTTCCTCATTGCGGTCGGTGTGGACTAAGACGTTGCAGCCGTAGTCGAGCGTGACGTCTCCTCGTCTACTGGTCGCATTATTGCGCCTGGCCGGGCCGTCTGGGTTCGGAATTGAAAGTACATAGTCATACTGACCTGACCTGTGCCGTGCGATGGACTTCTGTATGTTAATATCAGTGTTAAGATGTTGCTGTTCGAGACCAATTGCTCGCAGGACTAATATGGTTAGTTGAAGGACCACATGGCAGCAATCAGATGAGCGAACCTTCAGAACAGAAGTTGGATCCGTTGGCTTCAAATGAATCCGACGTCTGGCGAGGGGAAGTAGGTACGGCAGCACGTGTTTCAGTTGATGATGGGATACCCTCGTCTTGTTTGGTCTCTTGAGGCAAGTTGGCAAGGACTGGTCCTTGCGTAGGGCTAGTCACACTGGAGTTTCCGTCACAGATTTCGACTTCCTCCCTGATGTGTTGAAGGGTTGGGAAGATCTTGGTGTCAATGGATGATCGAGTCGAGCGACGTCGCGCAGGTTGCAGCAATGATCTGTTGGCACGGTTCTTTTTAGGACTGTAAATATGTAATTCCTTGAGTTTGTCGGTTAAAGCGTCGATGAATTCCGGCGTTCTTTGGCGACTGTTAGTGTCACAATCTTCGAGAGCAGCAACGTGGTTGAAAGTGTGAGGGCCGTTTGCGTCAAGAGAAGCATAATGGCCGGGACCAGAGGTGTCTTCGAGGATGCCGAAGCCGTGGCCCACGGTGTTGGATCGAGAGAGGTGACCCATTATGCTCGACAATCTCCGATTCCGACCTGAACCCAGACAGGGAACCGCCGACCCCAGACAAATTGAAAGACAAATGGGCCGCAATACGTGGGAGACAGTGGGCTGTCTGGGATTGGCGAGCAATTTCGCTTGAGACCAGCTGGGGTATATGTAATATGGCGGGGTTATTGGCTGGAACACTACTTCGTAGACAGCACTCTCTGTAGGTATTGGCCGTATGATTCTGGTTCAAGACAGAGTGTGGAGGAGAAGGCTGAAAGTGTCCAAAAAGAAGAGCTCTTTGAATATGATGGGCTAAAGTGTTTTGTGCTTCGGGATGGAAGCGGAATGGAAGCAAGACAAACAGCGTGACGTGGAAGAGAAGAAATTCTAGCCTGACAGCCACCAAGATGGTGGGAAATTGGCTTCAATTTGATCTTTCCCCTACTTGCCAGTTTCCTTCCAATAAAGCCACTAACCAACAGCATGGAGATGAGCACAAGCGCGGCAGGCTCGATAGATCCCCTCACTCCCGAGTTCTTAGGACCAGCTTGCCAAGGGCCTCCGGGTAGCCACGGGGGTGAGGCACCTCCCGTTTCGTTGCATCTGCTTCGTGGCACCGGCAACGGCCAACGGGTGAGACGGGTGAGAGCCTACGTTAGGATGACTAAGAGACGCGTTCAGGCTCCAAGTCGCGTCCTTCCCGTCCATTTGGGTGTCTGAGACCCCGCACCTCACTTGTTAGTGTTTGTTGACTTGGAGTGGAGCTTCCCTGCCCAATCCAGCGCCAACGTCAAACTGCCGGAAGAGGACGCTAAGAGGTGTAGCTTTCCGTCCAACACTTGGGCATGCCACAAACTGGTAGCTGCCGACAACGGTTCCAACGTGAGCGAGCTTCCAAGGCTACCTTAGATTCCTTCTGTATCGTTCTGGCCCATTAGCCAATGGTGGCTTCTCTTTGTGCATCTACCATATTGTGTAGGCACCTCCAGAAGCCTGGTCGTGCATGCTGCAGCACATGCGCTGACGTGGTCAGCGACCAAAAGTACCTCCGGTTTGAAAGCTGCGGCTTCATAAGGGATATTTTGCTTTTCGGGCCAAAGACCCGTCGCTCGTGAACTGTTATCATGGCGTAGTCATGCTGCTCTCTGCATTCTCTGCTGCGTTTTCGGCTTGTGCCTGGAGCGTCGGAGCGTGTTCTGTCGGAATGCGAACCAGTGTCTGCGGCAGAGACATGCTGGGTCCCTCCGATTCCAACGATTCTTCTTGCGGAGGCGGCTTGGCAAGTTGGGCTACAAGTTTCGTATCAGTTACTGTCATGTGCATCGCATGCAGCTAAAACCTACCGGATGCCATGTTGATAGCGCGCAGTACGTTATGCCAGTTGCTAATAACCATGGCAATCGCTTTCATCCGTCAGCTTGGCTACTCATCATCGGTCCCTCGATAGGTCATGCTGACCTTCTGTGCCATCAGAAAGCGTTGACAGCTTCTGCTCCAGTGCTTCCATCTGGCCTGCGACGGCAGCACTGAGATCGCGCAGATCCTTCAAGTGCTCCAGCTCTGCCTTCTTTTCTGCGATGCGCGCTACCAGCATGGGCGACGGGCCCGCGGAAGCGTTTTGCGACCCCGCGCCCGGGAGTCGAGTCGAGAGTGATCGAGTCGGGAAGGACATATCTGAAGGTGGCAGATGAGTCTGTCGCTTTACGTTCGGAAGAAGGTCGTTGTGTTTCGGGGTCGAGTTGGGAAAAGCTGGAAGGTGTGGCGGGGTAATGAATCAAAAAGGGCTGAAAGCGTTCTGCAGGTCAGAGGAACCGTCAAAGGTTCGGTGAGAGTGAGCACATGAAAAAGGATGCGGCAGGCGGTGGAGAGCTGGACCCGTCCAATTGCGCCCCCAGCAACCCCCTCTTCCCTGCACCTTTGTTGACACTAGACCTAATTAGGACGAGTGTAAATAAATGACACTTCGGTAAATTTTCTCCCTCCCCCCGACCCCATCGTCACTGTCCCAGCCACCTTCTTGTCATGCTTCGTTGAGCTGACTCTTCCATTCCTCACGTTTTGGTCTCATCGCGCGTTGGCTTTTTGTTCACTACTCCAGAATGCACCATGGCCCGACTAAACGAACCCCCCGTATCTACAGATAGCATCGACACGCGTATGCTTACTTTCTCGTCTTCATTTCATCTCATCGACTAACTTGTGTTATTGTAGTACGCAGGAAGCTATTGCGCCAAAACAGAGACCTTGCCAGAGCAAATGCTGTTCACTTGAATCGCATCCACAACCTCGAAGCAGATTATTCTCGTTCCCTGTCAGAAAACCTCCAACTGAATGGCCGAATTATTGAGCTGGAGAAGGAGCTCGAGGATAGCAATGCTCGGAGGATAGCAGATCATGCCCTGGACATCAGGTCCAGACTCGAATCCCAGTTGATGGACTGCATGTCGCTTCTTTCCAACCTCGGTCAAGAACCTCCCACGAAAAGACACGCAAGCCCTCGAGGAAGACGGATTTCCAGAGCAAGTCTGCCGCGTGGCAGCCCTCCCCAGAGACGGCCGCCACGCGAGCCAGTAAAGGACACAGAAGCTCGAGCGCTGCAAGAGGGCCGCCTGCCGCCTATCACAGAGAACAAATCGTATCCAAGAGCAACACTTGAGTAAGTCGGTTGTGATGCTTATTGTCGAGCTTGTGGTGCTAATATGACAAAGCCGTGACCAGATCCTCGCTCTGTGCTCAGAAGCCGCCGATTCGACAGATACAACAGACAACGCCGACACCACTGATTCCCCCGAACTTGGTCCTCCACCGATGTCCCGATTCGTCGATGCAGACTCCGTTGATATCGGATCCCCCCATCAACCCCTGAGTGCTACAGAACCGCAGGCAGCCACAAACAGCTCGCCGGGAAAATCACCATCACCAGCGCCAGTGGTACCTCCAGTACCCGTATCCCGAACGACACAAAAGCCCGAGAGGAATGTCATTGTGCGGCCCGATCCTGCAACCAAGACGGAAGACGCCAGGCCCGATGCCAAGCGCCCACCCAAGGAGACTCCTATCTTACCCCCCGTGCTTCCGATCGTCGTTAAGGCTGGGTCAAAGAGGAAGCATAGCATGGGAGACGATCTTGCCAAAATCACAAAACTACCCGTCGAACCCACAAAGTCGAAACAGCTCGAGCAACAACGCCCGCTTGAGGCACGCGAACAACCTAGCGGACAGACTCTGAAAGAACTCGCCAACAGACGCCGTGAGGCTAGAGAACGAATGTCGGCACCAGTCAACTCGAGAAAGCCTTTGTCGGCCAAGAGCACGAATGACGACATGGCTTCTCCTGTGAAGAGTTCCAAAGACGCAGCGAGTGACTTCAAGGTCGCCCTCGAGAAGCCGAAGCCGCGCGCCGCAAGTCAGCGGGCTGCGCAGAAGATCAGAGAAGCCGAGGCAGAATTACGATCCGAGCCTGAGCCAATCGAAGTTGTCATTGCCACTGTGCCATCACCGGCACCCACTGTTGACGTCCTGCCGAGTACAGAAACCGTACCCATCGAAGCTGCCCTCCTATCACCAGCATCACCTGAGCCAGTGTCTAGAATGAGCCTGCCGAGTGTTCGGGATACGCCCCCACCAAACGACATCTCTTCCCAGGGCGAAACTTCACGGCCAAGCAGGAGGGCGAGAGCTTCGGTCAGCTACGCAGAGCCAAATTTGCGTGACAAGATGCGACGCCCTACGAAGGAACTTTATGACGCCGTTACTGGTCAGACGAGGTACCTTCAGCGTAGTGGCAGCGCCAGTTCGGACCCATCAGCGGTGGATGCGGCACCAATAGTCAAACGCGAATCTAGTGACGATGCTACTTGGCAGCAGATCGCGGCTGCTGCTGCTGCTGCTGCTTCGCCGTCTGCAATCAGCCGGCAAAGTCAAAAGAGCCCCCACGAGCCCATCGACAAATCGACATCGCCGGAACGGCTGCTCGCCGTGGCGAAACCACTTCGTAAAAAACGCTCGTCTGCCATGATGTCGGGCTCGATCAGCGAGGGCGAAGGGCCGAGGCCTTTTCAACAAAACACTAGCAGCTCGACTCCCTTAGAGAAGACGCCCAGCCGCCAATCGACATTGTCGCCCGAGAGGGAGGCTGATCCTTATGAGTTCCCCGCCTCAACACCGGCTAGCGACACGTTTCGGGTTGCGGATACAAAGGACCTCAGTTTGCCAGCGCGCCAGTCCAAGTCATCAAGACGAGCGACGTCTGCAACGAGGGACGACTTCAGAGGGGAGGGGGCAGAAGTGAGCCAGCGACCCAAATCGGGTGGGCCCCGAAAGAGAGCGTCGATGGTCTTGCCCAAAAGGAATCGCGCAGAAGCAGAAAGTGTCGAAGATAGCAGCTTCGAGAGTGTGGAGAGCAGCAGCGACTTTCAGGAAACCAATTCCAAAGTGTCGATGCGGAGAAGGAGCATGATGTTGTAATGACCACTACATGATGAGACTGATGGCTAGCACTGGTGTTTTTTGGAGTTGGATACGTTGTCAAATACCAATCTCCTTGTTTTGTCCATGTTTCTGGGTAGGCCCGTAGAAGGGGCCACTGCTGTCTGGATACCAAAGGAGACGCGATTGGGTTTATTGTGCATATAGGGGAGCATAGCGAGCTTGCCGCTCCGAATAATGGCTGGCTGAAACTTATATTATTATCATGATCATCATTTGCCTACGTTCTTGTGGTCTTGAATCACGATAACCAGTCGATGATGGCTGGATCTTCCACCTTTTCTTGCAAATGCCCACGTCCTCGATTAAACGCCCTCTCCTGTCGTCATTGCGCCATTGATTCATGCTGCTGCCGATGGTTCCACGGGCTTCGTGTATGTCACCTTTTCTACAGCAACATTCTCATTGCCTTTGTCGTCTTTCCGTAGTTGGTATACGTAGAGTGTGAGAGAAATCCCTTGCACCTGGACTGATTGTCAGCAAAACAAATACGACATACACTCGCCCCTACCACGTGTAGTCTTCTCCTACAAATGTACGATGAATAGGTGGGCTATAACTCACATCCATCAAACAGAAGCTGGGGACGGGCTCCTCCCCGTCCTTGCCCCAGCCCGCGGTGAAGGCGCCCGTGGCGCTGCCGGGGTTGACGAAGAACTTGTCCATGTACTCGAAGGCGTCGAACTTGTGGGTGCCGCCCCAGCAGAGAACGTCGACGTCGAGCTTGTTGGCCTCGGCGAGGAGGAGGTCGGGCTCGTTGGAGACGAGGGTGAAGCCCTCGAGGAAGCCGATGCGCAGGGAGCCGTGGGTGACGACCTGGGTGAGGGGAAGGCTGGTGGCCTCGACGTCGAAGCGGCCTTTTACGATCTTGAGGTCCGGGGCGATGGTGCGGAGGTACTCGTACGTGTGCTTGTCTGTCAGGTTGCCCAGGCAGAGGGTCTGGCCGATCTTTCCTGGAGCGAGGAGCTTCTTGAACTATTGTTTGGGGGGTGTATGTTAGCTTGCTGAAGCTGTTGCGGGGAGAGGAGAAGGAGGGAGGTGTGTACCTTTGGGGGGATATCGAGGGCGCGATCTGGGATGTGAAGGTCGCCAATGACTAGAATTAAGAACGCCATGTTGACGGGGGACGCGAAGGTGGTGATTGATGAGAGCGCCGGAGATTCGGGAGCTGCCTGCTGTGAGACCTGGAGTTGCGCGGCCGATTTGAAGGTCCGCGGGCCGGGGCGGTTCCGGTTGAGGGTGTCGTTGGATCGCTGAAACGATGCGACAATGGTCTATGTGAATTCAGCAGTGAGGTATCAAATTGGTCGTCTCTTGATCTGACGTAGTGATCCTTGATAAGGTAGCTTCGCTTTGTCGGCTCGGTGTATGTAGCTCATGATGCACCGCCGCTGCGACCGCCTTCCCACCTCAGCCTCAGTTGCAACGGTCAAAGTGGGGCTGCTGATAGAGGTCTAGCCACAGTCTCATGTTGGATATTCCACACATATGTGGCTCAGCAAGTAACTCCCAAACTTGGGAAAGCGCCGATGTCGTCCGGTGTCGTCCCCCGAACTCAGGAGGGACGGGAGCTCCTCTTCAGCAAGGCTCATGCCATCCAGTCAATGTATTGGTAATTGCTAAGGTGCTCTCAAAGTCTCTCAGTTGAACTCGGAGCTCTCCACTCTCCGACGCCAGGACGCCGGTAAGAGACGCGGCACTCTCCTGATTCGGACTTGAATGCCGAGTTTACTCCTTGCCTTCCCTTTCCCTCAGGCTTCTCTTGCTTGACTTCCATACGCGAAATCGACTGTCCGCCTCTCCACGCTCATTCCCTAGTGTGCTCCAGAAAAGCCACCCAAAAAACCAAAGAACCAAAGCCCAGCCACTTTTAGAGGCGGGGACACAGCAGCCAGACAGACCACCGCATTGTCGTCTTACAGGATTTAAAAAAAAAAAAAAAACCAAGGCAAGGATTACTCCATGGCATTGCGTACTCTGTTTGCTTTTTATTTACCAAAGGTAGTCTAAACAAGGGGTCCTCAACAGACTTCGGCCCCGGTATCCGCTCCTTTAAAGTCGTTCTCGGCCTCTTCTTCCTAGACTTGTCCTCCCCGCGACGGGACAGATCCGAGCAAAATCGTAAGAGCCCTTACAACTCTTTGTTCCTAGACCAATTACATCCTCCGTCCGATAAAGACTATCGGCTTACCTCCCGAGGTGCGAATGACGCATAGGCGCACATGCACGTTCCCCTAAGGCGGCTCCAGCTCCCTCTCCGCACGTTGGCGAAGCAGGGGAGAATGCCCCTCCACAACCTTAGCAACCCCTCATCAGCTCGGGTATCGCTCATCTCGAGACACCTGCGACCATCGGAACCTGCGACGACTACATCAACGGCTGTAAGTCCACCCTCTTTTCGATCTACCCCAGACTAAACCCCCTTCAATTGATAAATCCAACTTTCCTTCTCGCACTCACACCATCCATAGGCACGACCAGTTTCCACAATGTCTTCTCAACCACCTCACTCAACCCTCCTCATTCCGGGGCCCATCGAATTCGACGATGCCGTCCTCCAGTCCATGAGCCACTACAGGTCTGAAGTCCTTCTCCCTCCGGCACACCCTCC